TCTGGATAGGATAACCAGTTTGATCATGCCATTTAGATGGAATACTGGGAGAACATATCCAGCTATCTCCTAAAGTGGTTTGGATGGTTTCCTGTCCTTGATTATACTGTTAACTAATTGGGACTGGGGCTAATTATGATTTTTTTTTCTTTTCACCAATATCACTGTTAGAATAGGATTTGACAATGAAAGTATTTGTTCTATATTACTGTTCGAAATACTCTTTTATACTCGAGAAACTTGAGAGCAATTTTGATATCAAAAGTCATCAGTACCTGTTGTTTGTTGTAGCAATGCAAATTTAGTCATCAGTACCTGTTGTAGCAATGCACATTAGGTATGACACTCCAAGGAAATCTGTTGAAACCTGCCTTGTAGGACACATTTTCTTTTTAAAGTTCAAGAATTCATGTAAATCCCATCTTGGAAACAAATTTCACCAACATGATTACATAAATTAGTGAGTCAAAAGTGGAAATATATTTTCGATCTATGAGATCTCAATAGATGTGACTAACATAGGAGAAAAGTTCTTAATGACAAATCTGAGAGTACGAGTTCCTTGGTTAATTTTTTGGCTGAACTCAAATTCTTCACAATCTGAAAACATTTTCCTTACCCCTAGGGTTGCAAGAACTAATCCAAGCCACAAGAGAAATCTTATCTTGTGTTTGACTGCTTGAAACAAGTTGCTGGTTGTGAGTTCATTCTTTCATATTGTACATCTGTGTCAAATTTTGGCTTGCAGATGCTGTGATTCCAATCACTTGCTTCATACTGGTGTGCCTATTTGCACTACAACACTATGGCACACATCGCATAGGATTCTGTTTTGCACCAGTGGTTCTCACTTGGTTACTATGCATTAGCGCTCTCGGTTTATATAACATCTTTCGCTGGAATCCACATGTCTACAAAGCTCTTTCTCCATATTACATGTTCAAGTTCTTGAAGAAGACAAGAAAAAGAGGTTGGATGTCTTTGGGTGGCATCCTTTTGTGCATAACAGGTAAAGCCTAAGTTAAAATTTTCATGTTACAAGAAATGTACATACCTTAATACACTTGGGGCTTTTGAAGTTAAATGACATCCGAGAGGGTATGATACTTTTTCTGAGACCTTAACCAATGAACGACTGACTCTAATTCTACTACTTGATATTTTGGAGATTATCAGTAAGATCTAGTGCTTCTGATCTTCTTTACTGTGGCATTTTCAGGCTCAGAAGCAATGTTCGCTGACCTTGGTCATTTTTCTTATACTGCAATTCAGGTACAATTGTTTGTTTAATATTCCTTAGTCCAGTCTGTCACAGCTCTAACTGGAGCCAATTCTCGCTTACATTCTGGAATAGTTATAAAACCTTCTTCTTCTGCAGATTGCTTTCACCTTTATGGTATATCCAGCTCTAATTTTGGCTTACATGGGTCAAGCAGCTTTCTTGTCAAAGCATCATGATACCAACTACCAGATTGGATTTTATGTGTCAGTTCCAGGTATTACCATCTCTTATAAAAATGTTAGCATTTTGCAGGGTCTATGTACAAAGAGGAAGAATTTCTGAGAGAAGAATACCATGAATACACGTGTGAGAGAGATCTAGGCACGTCAACTATCATATGGAATTTCTTTACTGTGGGTCATTTAATAGTTAATAGTTCATTATCATTGTTTCAAGTGATTGACGTACATGGGATAAGCTTACTTCTTGCCTGTTGTTTTCAAGAAACCCAACAAAACTTGTTGAATCACTATCATCATATAGGACAAACAATATCCAAATGTCTCTTTTTCTTTTCCTGTTACTGGACAGCAAACAGTTCTTTTGTTTTGTCAAGAAACAGTTGTTTTATTTCTTTTCTTTTTTACTCAAACCAATGACAAGTATAATGCATAGGATAAATTCTTCAGTCTGCAAAGGAAATGGTAGCACTAAAATTTCATTTCATTCAGAAAGGCTTGAACATTACCTTGGGTGTGGCAGTTCAGGCCACCAGAACCGTGTGCAATGTACATGAATAACATTCTGTTTTTTTATTTTCTCGATACAGAACATGTAAGGTGGCCAGTCCTTGTTATTGCCATCCTTGCTTCAGTGGTTGGAAGCCAGGCAATCATCAGTGGAACATTCTCTATAATCAACCAGAGTCAGTCGCTTGGTTGCTTTCCAAGAGTTAAGGTCATTCATACTTCTGATAAGATACACGGCCAAATTTACATCCCTGAGATCAATTGGACACTCATGATCTTCTGTATTGCTGTTGCAATTGGATTCAGAGATGTAAAACACATGGGAAATGCGTCCGGTAAGTCCGCTCACAATGGCTGATTATATATACTATCAAGCTGTCAGTTTATTGTTGCCTGCAGACTGCAAGGCTGCTTCCCTTCTGTATCAACTGTTAGATACAGAAAATGCTAAGGAACATTTGTATTTAAGTTGGTTAAAGATGTAGATTGCTCCTATAAAGGCAAGCTTCTAACTATTTAGTATTCAAATTCAACAATACCAACTAGCTAATTATCAGCATTTGCCTGAACTGACAAACACTGACCTGATCAGCTGAAGGTTGTTTAGGAAATTCTCCTTTTCTTCTCTAAAGAGAACCAATCTCAATTGGAAATTGCAAATGATATTAAATTATGAGCTTTGGTTGGAAGCATTTAACATTTTGTTGTTTATTTTTTGACTGTTGCAGGATTAGCAGTGATGGCTGTAATGCTGGTGACAACTTGCCTCACATCATTGGTCATCATACTCTGTTGGCATAAACCTCCAATTGTAGCCCTTTGCTTCCTCCTTTTCTTTGGTTCCATTGAACTGCTCTACTTCTCTGCCTCCCTCATTAAGTTTCTTGAAGGTGCCTGGCTTCCAATCCTCCTTGCACTCTTCCTAGTCAGTGTCATGTTTGTTTGGCACTATGCCACTGTCAAGAAATATGAATATGACCTCCACAACAAGGTCTCACTAGAATGGTTATTAGCCTTGGGCCCAAGTTTGGGCATTGCTCGAGTCCCTGGCATTGGTCTTGTTTTCACTGACCTAACATCAGGCATACCTGCCAATTTTTCACGTTTTGTCACAAACCTTCCTGCTTTCCACCGCGTTCTTGTTTTTGTATGCGTAAAATCAGTGCCTGTCCCCTTTGTACCCCCAGCTGAACGATATCTTGTGGGTCGCGTGGGTCCCCCGGGTCACCGATCCTATAGGTGCATAGTCCGATATGGTTACCGTGATGTTCACCAGGATGTCGACTCTTTTGAATCCGAACTGGTCAGTAAGCTGGCTGATTTCATCCGCTTTGACTGGTTTAAAGCACGTGGCATAATTGATACGTGTAATGAGGAAGATGGCTCTCGATCTGGTGCATCATCGGGTGATTACAAATTGGCAGTGATAGGAACGGTGGGTTTCGCTGGCACACCAGCTTTTGAGATTGAGGAAGACCTGCAACCAGCAAGCGTATCTGTTGGCTTCCCAACAATAGACAGTGTGACGGATGCAATAGAAATGGAACCAGTCGGTGTCGTTGAAAGAAGAGTTAGATTTGCTGTTGACTACGAGTCTGAAGCTGATTCACGGCCTGAAATGGACATCCAACTCCGTGAAGAGCTTGAAGATTTGTATGGAGCTCAACAAGCTGGGACTGCTTTCATCCTTGGTCACTCACATGTGAGAGCAAAACAAGGATCGTCTCTTCTTAAGAAGTTGGCAATTAATATTGGTTATAATTTCTTGAGGAGGAATTGCAGGGGACCAGATGTGGCGTTAAAGGTGCCTCCGGCCTCGCTCCTAGAGGTTGGCATGGTTTACGTAGTGTGAGCACTTTTGTGGAAGATGAAGTCCTGCTGTTGCTTGTAGTTGTGGCTTGTATTGTAGTCTGCTGTTACAAACCTTGTCTAAAGCAGGTGTAGAAGGTAGGTCATCGTACAGAACATGGGATCAGATAGGAAAAATGTTTTGGGAAAACTGTCTCCCCAAAAAGCGAAAATCTACTTGAAAGTTCGCGAATGTGATAACGGAAATGAAAGGGGACACAGAAAATGGGGAAAAAAAAAGGTGGGGTTCCTTGCGGCGGGTCACTTATTTTTCTTGGTAACTCGTTGTGCATGGCTACGTAAGAAATTTGCACGATTGGTATATTCTCTGAAACCGTGGCCTATCCTCTAATCAGAAAAATGCAACAAAAAACATTTTTAAAATGTTCAACTTCTATCTGAAATTCTGTACTACCAACTATCGAAGACGTTCCAACATGCATGGTAACAAAAAAAATCTAGAAAGAAAAAAACTCTTATCTTTAAAGTAGGGCTGTAAACGAATCGAACCGCTTGCGAGCGGTTCAAATCCAAATTCGAGTCAAGTTTGATCAATATCGAGTTCAAACTCGAGTTTAAAAATACTAAATTCGTTAGTTCGCGAGTCGATTCGCACTCGATTATATATATAATTTTTTTATTTTAATAGAAAAATTATATATATCTCTAATATTTTATTATTTATTATAAAAAATTATTATTTTATTTATTTTTTAAAAATAAAATAATTATTTTTTATTTTTTTAAACTCGAGTTCGAGTTTGACATTTTGAGTCCATTGAACTCGAACTCGAATTTGAGTTTTATAAATTATGTTGAAACTAAACTCAATTAAATCGAAACTCGACTCGACTCGATGAACTCCTACTTCAAAGAAATCCCTTACTTTTTTATTTTTTTTTATTATCTTTCTCTCTTGTAATTTGTTATGAGGAAGCCGAAGTTGCAAAACTAAACGCCAGAGAGTATATTTCTTGCATGTTAGACTATGTCAGCATGCTTGATGCTGGCGGTTGACACAGTAACAATCGACAGGCTGAGGACTTTCCCGTTCCAGTGAAGGGGTCAAATGAAGCCTAAAAGGCCACGTCGTCCTCCCATAACCACCACGAGCTCCCCCGAGTGGCAAATATGCAATCTTTAGACGGTAGGCTACTCCTAAATCACCCAAAACTCCACCAAAAGACAAAGCAAAATCACGCTGTAGTACATCCACGATCACACATTCGTCCCTTCCCTCCCCCAGCCAGTCCCACTTTTAAGTCTTTTAAACTTCTCTTTAAGGATTGCAGCGTCTAAAAGTTCTAGCAGGAGAACTTAAGCTGATTTGAATTTTAATAGTAAGGACTATTTTGAGTCGTAATAAAGAAAGACTCAAAGGACTTTGAGGCTCGAACTGAAGGAAAAATATGGGGCTAAAAGCACTTCCCCTGTCACCCTCTCAGAATGGGTTCCTGGGTAATGCAGCGGTTGCGCCAAAATTCTTCAGATACCATTCTAGCAGAAGCTGCAACTTCATTGCTGTTTCCGCCAAGAATGAGAGCGCTAGCACCGAAGAAGAAGCGGGCAACACAGAGAAGAAGCAGTCGCTGTTTTCAAGTGTGACAGAAGCTCTGGACTTTTCTCAGGTCCGATCAGCTAAGGATGCCGAGCTCTTGGAAGAAGCTAGCGAATCTACGCGCTCAGGTGGACGCATGAGTAGGGAACAGGTGAATTCTGAGTATACTAGTCATCAAGTTCTACGGCTCTTCCTTAATTTAATTTCAGCTTGCTGATTAACCAACCTCCCAAGTTCTATTCATGCTGCTGCTGCTATGGAATGTAATTATGAAATATGAAGAAACTTATTTATCTTGCACTTCATGATTTGTGATGCTAATATTTTGCTTAGTGGTTGCTAACACTTATAAATGACCTCTTTGTAGTATGGGGCTCTTAGAAGGAAAATCGGTGGAACATACAAAGATTTCTTCAAATCCTATATTGAAGGTAATTATGAACACTTTGAAATACGTATTTCTTGATTCCATGATAATCTGTTTTCCCCACTATTTGAAGCTTTCAGTTTATCGTCATCTATTAATAATTATAAATAAAAAAAAAACAGTGGATGGACAATACGTTGACGAAGGATGGGTTGACAAAACATGCAAAGTTTGCAAGAAAGATACCAGGGGTGAACCAAGGCAAGTGGATAAATTCGGGAGATACGTTCATGTAGAATGTCTTGAGAAGTCCAAGTCCGGAAATTTTTTCACAAGGCTCTTCTCCAGCTGACTTCTGGAAGAGGCACATCACCCTCAAGATTGCCCCCTCCTCCTGGGCTTAGGTTTTGACTAGGAGGGGAACACCGCGCGATGCGCGGTGTAATTTTCAAGTTTGCCCAGAAATGTTCAATTATTTAAACTGAGATATTCAATATAAAAAGTTACGTGAAGGTGCATCCAAATGTTTGTAATTATTTTTTGTAATTTTATTAAGCAATGAAGAGAGCCACAATTTCAGTCTGGTTGCTAAATGACAGTCATTTTTGGTATGCTGACTGATTTGGACAGCAATGGCAATGTCATTAGTTTGAAAATAATATAACACTGTGTAATGCTGCCTTATATTTTTTATGTGCACCAAAATCTGTGACTTTGTAGCTCAAAAAAAAAAAAAAAAAAGAGAGCAGTGTAGTATTGCAGCAAGGCTTAGCCTTATTTTTAGACTCTGATACAACCAATCCACTATTTTCGTAATTGCATCAAATTAACCCAAAGACTGAAAGAAAGACCCATTACTTTGTAGTACAATAACCAAAATGGCTTCATTAGCTTGTAACTTCCAGAAATCTATGGAAAGCAAAAGAATTGTGCTCACATATCAACCGTAGTGAGATGAACTGCATTTGACCAAAAATGGAGGAGGATTACCTAATGCAGGTGTATCTTCTCAATACATCAATAGCATAGGGGATGGTCAACTACTCAATACACAAAAAAAAAAGGAAGTTTCACAGGCCTCGATGCAATTCTACCCTTGATCATTTGATGCATGTCAACAGCCAGAATCCCGTAAAAGGAAAGACAAGCACATGAGATAATGTAAAAGCCTGCATTTATGAAACTTACGACCAGTAGACTGCATTCCAGAGGTTCTCATTACACATCAAAGCTGTTCCAGCTCAAAAAGGAATATAAGAAAAAGAAGAAAAAAGAAATGCACAGTGTAGTATTGCATCAAGCCTTTTCCTTGTTATTAGAATCATACACTTCAAAATAACCGAAAGACCGAAAAATGCATTACTTTGTAGTACAATAACTAAAAAGGTTTTCATTAGCATATAACTTCAAGAAATCTAATGAAAATAAACTGTGCTTACATATCAACCTTAGTGGGATAAATTGTATTTGATCAAAAAAGGAGGAGGATTATTAATATAGGAACCAGTTCTAATACTGGGTTGGTGCCTGATTTTGACGGAAATTCATTTCCCTGTCTACTGAAGGTGAATTCATTGCTATTAATTGTTAGAACTTGCATGTAGTGGTAGCAGCTACATGTTCTGCTCTTTTTAAATTCGAATTAAAATTAGTTTCTCTATCATCTTGAATTTGCAGATGTATGATTCTCCTGAGTCGGATTTGAAGCTGAATGATGTATTCGAGTTTATTGGTGTCCTTACTTTTGATACAGAGCTTAAAACAGATGCCGATGAGGTTACTGAACTGAATAACAGTTTATATGAAGAAGAATTGACTCATCTGCCCCCTAGCAAGGTCTTAATTGATTCTAAACTACCAAATGTTTCTCGCTTCTTGTTTGCCCTGTCTACCTTTCTCATCAAGTAACGAAACAAATAATAGTGTTAAGATGACTTGTGCAACGATAAGGAAAAAGTAAGGATCACTATTATTACCAACCTTTTTTATTGTATGCTTTTCAAAATTCTCTATGTGCTGCTTGTGCCACCAAATAGGCTCACGCAACATTTCATTTCAATGGTCGATGGTTAATTTCACGGGGACTGTAGCATATCAATCATGAATGAAAACCTGCAATGTCTCTCTTTTTTTTTTTTCTGATGATGATTTGCAACAAGCTTTTTTTCTGATAATGATTTGCAACAAGCTGTTAATCCTCCTGCTTATGAATAAGATGATTATAGCTAACAGCCATGCTTTTGAATTGCCATAGACAGCAATTAGAAGGAAAAGTTCCATCATAGATTGTCTTAAAGCTAACCATTTTTTTAAAAATTTTCTTTACATAAATGGAAGTGAGAACAAACTGGTAGTCATGCACTAGAATCTGTGAATCCCAAAAGTTGAAATCCTGTTGCAGCTTGCTGACCTTAAAGAAAACTAGTCACAATTTGTCTTAACCAGCATATGTTCATTTGATACTGTACTGCAAAACCAATTACTAAAATAAAATGATTTTTTCATACAAAAAATGACTGATTTTGCTGATTACTTCCTTTTGTAGGTGCCTCGTATCCATTGTCTAGTACACAGGAAACTAGCAGTTCATGACTTTCTTTCAAGTCCCACAATGTTGGAGGTGAGATGAGTGAGCTTGTGGTTGTTGTACGAGAGTAAAAAAGAACCTGCAAATTAGTTGCAATGCTATCTCCCCTCTTTTCCATCTTTTATCCTTCCACTCAATCTAACAAAAGGGGAAGCGAGAAATAAAGATGCTTCTTATGTCATTTGGTTATTTAATTCTGTAACCGAACTCTTGTAACACAGCCCAAACCATTCCTGGTGAAAGGGATAAGAGAAACACTGTTGGGGCATCTCACAGCTGTTCTTGGAAATGACGGGCTAGCAGCTCAGTTCATGTTATTACACCTTTTATCCAGGGTATGTTTCATAAGAGACCAAGTTTCCTAGTCCTTTTATTTATGAGAATATCATATTTGTCATCCTCTTTCCTTGTCATGTAATTTTTGGACATAAGTGGATGTATCCACCAAGTAATGTCATTGCAGGTACATGCTAGGGTGGATACAGTTGCTGTGGGAAAGCTTTCACTAAACCTTACTTGTTTAAACAAGGAAAGCATATCTATTTTTGGAAACCGTTTAAACCTCGCGATCAGGAACCTTGTACCTTTTGCACATTCTCTACCTCTCACCATTGATTACCTTAATTCTGTTTCTCTTGCCCCAAGAAAGGATTACCAGATAAACAGGTATTCTGACGTTATACTGTTGGCCTGCAGAATACTTCTCTTTGAAGTGCACTTCAATAACTCTTGAGCTTCAGTGTAATTTTGTGGTTCAATGTTCTCGGTGTCATAGATTGGTTTCTGGAGCTTTACAACTAGCTGAGGGCACTCATTTAACTATCGACGAGACTCAGTTACAAACAGGGACCCTTAACTCGACTGGAGTTGATAATGCAAGAGTGCTGAAAAGCTTGACGGAGTTGCAAAAGGTACACTGATACTTGGACTCATAATGTTATGGTTGTGTATTATTTTTTTCAGTCCGCTGTTGCATTAAGTTTCTCTGACAGATGTAGATATCTTTTCTGGTTATGTGTGCCTTGAGGAGTTGATTTACAATTTTTTTTCTTGATTTCAGATAAAGCTGGTTTAGATCGATATATTAGCTTAGCTAACATCTTCATTCCCTTTAACAGGTGGAGTATGAATTTACATACTATAAAATGGACATGGCTGCAGACATCCAAATGTTAATTCTTTCTGAGGGAAAATCTAATATCTTACCCGCTGATTTGGTGTTGCCTTTGCGTCCATCCTCGGTAGACTGTTATGGTGATGTGGACCCAGAACTACTGAAAGCTTGGAGATGGTACTTAGCTACTATGAGATCATTGCCACATTCCATTGAGCAGGAGATGCAGAAGGTAAGGGTTAAGTTAATTTTGATCTTCGTTTTCAAGTCCTCCAAGAAAGTGACGTGGCTTTCCAAAATTTTTCTTGATTTGGTATTTTCTATTCTGTTTAGTCATATATGTGTGTAATCTTTATAGTCGAAAAAGTCCCCAGTGGCAGTCAATAATGATTTCCTCATTTGCAGTCGTGGTTGGTGCCTACAAAATAAAAATAAACCTGCATGTCTGCGAAACTGCTAACAGTGTTTGAAATTTCTTTATTTATTCAGTGAAGTTGGGTTTAATTTGTTAGTGCAACTGTTTGCAATGTTCCAGTGAGGGACTCACAATTTCCCAATATGATATTCCTGTCCCAATCCAATATCGACATACATGGAGACACACTTGCGTATATTGTGCAGCATCTACAGCTGACTCGTTTTTTTTTTTTGGTCAAATATCAACTTCAATATATAGATCTACAGCTGACTCGTTGCTAACACTGATCAAACATAATTGCAGGTGGTAGAAGATGACTTGGTTGCTGCAAGGCAAGCTGATAGAAGCTTAGGAAGCCAAGAACTCAGCAGGTTGGTTGCGGACTGTGAACTTGCCCATATTTCCCTTATATCCTTCTCATAGTAGGGTTGATGATGTGAGACCATTTTTTTGCAGATTGCTTACTATGGGGCGATTGGTTTCGGTGAGCTTTGGTGACACGTGTCTGTCATTGGATCATTGGCAGATGGTGAAGGAGCTGGAGAGACTGAGGAGGGAAAGGCTCCAGGGGAGTGTGTAGGTGAAGCAAGGGAAAGATGGGAGAAGAGAGTCAGAGAGTGTTACTACTTTTGTCAATCTGGTAGACAATGTGAGAGGCGTTGTGATGAAGTAGTGTTGTAAAGAAGCTCATCTTGTAACTGTCAGCATCTAAATTCAACCTTATGGTAATGCAAAATGTAAAATGACTGATTAAAACTTGATTTGCACTTATTAGCACGCTGGAAGTTACATTACATTGTAGTATGATATCTTCGGGCAATTTAATTTTAGTATATACATGAAGCGAGAGTTCTTTATTTTTTGTTTTGTTAGAGTGTTTCCCGGCCAATTCTTTATTATTATTTATTTTTTTGCCTTTGCTCCTTTTTCACATTCTTTTGACACCTTGCTCTATTAAACACACGATTTGAATCATGAACTTTTTCTTAAGACCAAGAAGATTCTAAATCTGTCAAGTCACTCTAGAGCTGCAACAGGAGAATGATCAATGATGTGCCTAAAGCGATAGTGAACCAGCAATGATTGTAGTGTAGGCATGACTTCAGAATGGTGATGAATCCAAAGCAAAGGACTAGTAAAATTTCGTCTAAAGCGCACCGCAGCAGGAGTGTAGTTTTCAATAGTCGTCCCGAATGCAGAATAACCGAACAAACAAACAAGCCCGCGGTGAAATGACATAATGGTCATTAGCTCCTTTTTTTTTTTTTCAATCATCACTTTTTATTTATATCATACTCTATTCTAATCTAACTAAGAGAGAAGGTCTAACTGAACCTACAGGGAGCCGATAGGGATAAAATCACCACCGAATCAGAAAAGTGCACTACGCATCCTTTTTTGAAGAACGGGTTCTGTTTGGATTAGCTTTTTTTTAAAGTGTTTTTCAAAAATTTTACTGTAACTGTGTATATGAAAAACTTTTACTGTAAATGTTTTTTAGATTGTTTTTAGAGATATATTTTAATATATATTTTTGAATATTTTTATAATTTACAATTTTTTGAAATATTTTTAAAAAAATTTTACACCACCCACCATCACCCCCTCCTTTTTCTTCCTCTCCTCCTCCCCTCTATTTCCTCCCCCCTCCTCCTCCTCCTCCCTCTTTCCTCTCCCTTCTCCCTTTTCTCCCCTCCCCTCTTTCCCCCCAACCCCAAACCTCTCTCTGGGTGGTGGCTGCGACTTTAGCTACTACTCTAACCACGACCGTCTTGGTCGCGACTTCTGATTGCGATCAGATTTGATCGTGACTAGAAAGGTTGTGGTCAGTAGAGGGGAAGGAAATTGGAGGGTAAGGAAAGGGAAAAAAGAAAGGAGAAAGGACAAAGAGAGAGAGGAGGAGGAAAAACGAAGAAGGAGGCGGAGAGAGTGAGGAAAGATGGGCGGAGAGAGAGAGAGGGTCGTGGGTGTGAGGGTCGTGGGTGTGGGGGTGGTGGCGGTAAAGTGGCGATTGTGGTGGTGGAGAGTGATGATGATGGGTAGTGGTCTATTTTTTATTTTTTTTTTGTATATTTGGAGTTGTTTTTGATATATTATATGGATATGGTGTTTTTGGAGTTATTTTTGTTTGTGTATTACTATCGCATTGTATATGAAAAACTTGTTTTTAAAAAATTGAGGAATCCAAAGAACCCACATAATGTGGTAATTGGTGGGAGGTGCCTTAATGGCTTGCTGGTTGTTGAAAAAATGGCCATAAGTCAATAAACTAGCATATTACTTATTATTTATTTCCTGCAACCAGGCACTTTTAACACAAGTGTTTTTAATAAAATTGGACTCTTTAAATTATAAAAATTAATTACCAACCATGCTAAAACTATTTTTTAATACTTAAAAGCGTTTTTCTTTAATGCACGGCAACTCAAACGGGTTCTCGGACAGTTTATTTAGCTTATGGGAACGCTTTCCTTCCTTCCTTTTGCTCCAAATCGTCAGTCAGTGAATGAGTGGGTCATGAATTTTATGATTGATCGCCGCCTTAAAAGTTAAAATCAGTTGGAAGGATGATCCCATCGAGACTGCGATGATTATAGGTGAAATCCCATAATCTGTCCTCCCCTAAAATTGGCCTCCCATCGCCACGATCTTTGCTCAATTCTCAACAAACGGAGAGCAGGAGGAGGAGGAAGAAGATGATGATGATGATGAAGATGATCGGTAAATCCCGCATTGAAGCATTCATGTCTTGGTTCGTCAGAGTTCATCCCCACGAGACATCCGCTTTGTTTTGTTCCACCTCCACTTTCTTCTTCGTACGCTTTTCTTCTCCATTCCCACTATTTTCTTCTTCTTCGACTACTATCTCTTTTATAGTAGTAGTATATGATAAATCTCAGTTAGTTAATTTGATTTCTTTTGTTCGATGAATTAAATTACCAGTGTAACTAACAATTGCAGATATTGGGTGCTTATTTCGTGGTTTTACCCTTACGCGACGAAGGGGCAATCTCATTAGGGTTAGGCAAATTGCCTGGCCTATTTGCGGGATCATTGCTCCTCACCTTGCTTGCTGCTCCCCTTTCCACCCTCATCTTCTCTTTGCCTAATCTTCCTAAAAGAAAGGTGGCTACATTCTTCTTTCCATTCGATTCACTTCAATTCTATCTCCCCCCTGCACAAGCACATGCTGCGACAACTAGTGAATTCAGTTTAATTTTTTCTTTTTGTTTATTTAGTTTCACCTTCATGTACTAATTGGATGTCGAGAATTCACTTCCTGGAAAAAGTTAAAATTTTTGAGTATTTTTCTACTAGTCTATTAATTTATCCTTTTACATGAGAAATAGTTGTTGCACATACAATGTGCTTTGCTTTGAGTCTCCAGTTTATGCCATCTCTCATGGATTCTTAAACTTGCAGGCTCTGGTCTTCATCCACAGGTTTTTTAGTGCGTCTCTTGTTGTCTTCTTTATCCTCTGGCTTTCCTCCTCACCTGGAAGCGCAGCGTTCAATTTCAAGGTGGGGTTTTATATCAGCTCTTTAACTTCAGAACGTTTGACTTCTTCAATTTGAGATTCTTTTTTTTATCCATTTTTAGGGGTTTCTTCACATGTCGTCCACTATTAAAGAAGAACTCAAGGTTCAAGTTAATCAAGCCACTCCTCCATCTTCTGATGGATGGAGCAACAATGGATGGTTTTACAATTCAGTCAGAATTTCTTTGTTTCTCTGGGTATGTGTTTGCTTCTATTCCTTGTATCTTGGTATAATTGTGACTTTGGACTACTTGGTCACTCTTACAGGGGAAGTTTTACCTTCTTCATTTCTCACCTCAGGTTGCACTGCTTAATCTTATCACTATATCATCAACCTGGGCAAGAGTTATTGATGTGATGGATAGTGAGGTCAGTTAACTACTCTTTCCCAGCTTTGAGAACTTTTTTATGAGCAACTGATATGTGGTAAAAACTTCAAAGTAATAGCAGAAATCAAACAGTGCTATCGTTGCTGCTTTGATAACAAGCATCTACATCAATTAACTCTCTCACAAATCCAGTCAGGTTCAAGATTGTTTGGTTTTATTGGTGCTGGTGCTACACTTGGTCAGCTATTTGGTTCAGTATTTGCAACTGTAATGGCGTGGTTAGGACCATGTATGTCAATATTCCCTGCTTAGTCTGAAGATCTAGTTTTAAATCTATTTTGCTTCTGCCTCTCACTTTGCACTTCTCTTGATTGCTCACTTGTTCTTTTCTTCTTTTTTCCCTTTTGTGTTAAATTTTGTCCTTCTACTTTGTAACTATGAATCTGGGTACTTGTAGACTTGCTTCTTTTTGCCGCTATTTTGATGGAACTTGCTGCACAATCTGCTAAAGGAATTGACAAAGATATCTCTCGTCTTCCTGAAGAACAGTTTCCCATAAGGTTTTGATTTTATTCTTCTTGTTTCTGTCTCTTCATGACTTAGTTTATATCTTTGTTTTTTCTTATAACATGTTTTCTTATTCATATATGCATTTCTGTGGCTGTGCACATCTGTGTACATTTATCTTCTATAAAAGTTTTACGTACATGCACATGTGTGTGCATATAATCTTAACCTTCTTGAGGATTTGGTAGGGTATGATAAGAGACTTAACCTTCTTTTCTTTTGGGCTCTAGGAAATCTGACTTTGATCATCTTAATACGGCTAATGAACAGACTGAACCTGCTGATAGACGATCTTCCCCTAGATTATCTTCTACAGCAGCAAATCCTCAGTTCTTGGCTATATTAGATGGACTGCGCCTGATACTCGCATCGAACTACTTGCTACTTGTTGCATTATTCTTGTGGCTAAGTGCAGTAGTCTCCTCTTTCTTTTACTTTCAGGTAAAGGATGCCTGATCATTTACTAAAGAATTTGAGGGTTTTATTATGTTTTTTTCAGCCTCTTTTTTGTGTTTTTTCTTTCATTATCTCTCTCTCTGTACCCCTCCCTCCCTGCCTCCTCCTTTATAGCTGCGTCCGTGTGTCTTTATGGAAATTATTTTTGGACAAGGCAGAGGGATTGAATACAATGACCAGATAATATTTCTTGAGACCTTTTCCTCTGACGGATGTTATCCGGTTCTCTTCTGTCTGCAGAAAGTGACTGTGATTGCCACAAGTTTTACAAGTCCCGTTGACAGAAGAAGATTGTTTGCTCAGATCAATAGCTTTATTGCTGTTTTTATTCTTGCTGGACAACTTAGTTTAACGGTATGACACAATTGTCCGATTGGTTTTTGGTTTGGTGCTCTTGGAATTTCCTCTGATTATCCAGATGGGGGCCTTTTCATGGTTTTCTTTGCATTACCTTCAACACTTTTAACAAATTTTCTCTGAAATCACAGGGTCGTATCCTTACTATCTTTGGGGTTACAACTGCTATATGCTCTGCACCATTTGTTGCGATCATTAATTTAATTGCTATAGCTGTGTGGCCGACATGGATTGCAGTTGCTGTGTGCGAAACATTACGCAAGGTCTGTTTTATTTACCCGTTGGATGGGGAAAAGTAATAAGGAAACACGTAGCTGTACCTTTTGTGTGGGCAACAGTGAGGGAAGCTGGATTGTGGCATTAAAGTTACATTAGTTGCAAACTAAATGTATTATCTGTTCTTTTTGTTGCTTCAGGTGGTTACATATGTTGTAACCAGGCCTGGAAGAGAGCTGCTTTTCACTGTTGTCTCACAAGATGAGAAGTACAAAGCAAAGGTATTAGACATATTACACAAATTGATTGTTTTCCCTCTCCCTCTTTTTGAAAGATAGGATTTTGAGAAAACGTACAAGGGCGCAGGGGAGTCTATAATCCTCTCATTTCAAT